AAATCCAGTCAAACCCAAATCCAAATCCAAGTCAAACCCAAATCCAAATCTAGTCAAACCCAGTCAAACTCAAATAAAGAATTGGATTTGGGTTTGACTAGATTTGGATTTGGTGCATGCCTAATATAATATAAAAGTAATTAACATTTATAACGCATAGACATGCTATATATATTATAGAAAAAATTCAGTTCATTGTTTTTACTTCGTCACAAATTTCGTTTTTAAAGCTTTGTTGCATTGTATTGCTAATTGCAAACCTTGATAATGAAGTACAAGTGCATTACAATGTATAGTTATGAATTGCATGTTACTGGTTGTTCACTTTTAGTATTCCATATGCGTGTCTTAACAATGATTGCTGACACGTCGTTTGGTTTAAGGAGACTCGCTCTCCCTTTTCACACATTCTGAAGAACAGCTTATCAAAAATATTTGAAACTTTTAAAGTGAATAGGTCTCGATGAGTAGAACAAAATTTGTCATAGACTCCAATATTTTATATACTTTCTTCTAGGATATGGTTGGATCGAAAAGACAAAAAATTGCCTCACTTTCTCAGTCGCAATAAGTTTGCTAGAGCTAAAATATTTTCTACAGATTCGAGACACTGTTTGAGGTGCCTACTTATTTTGGTTTCTATTAATCTCCTTTCATTTGAACAAAGAGATCAAAAATATTCAGCGTATCTTCAAAAGTACATGTTTTCTTCTACTAGGATTTTTTGTAAAATCTGTCAAAAATTAACGGTATAATATTTTTTAAAACAAAAAGAATTGGACGCATCGAGCAGTGTTCAGTATTTGTTTAAAAAAGTTTCAGCTCGATCAAACGAACTATATCGAAGAAACAGAAGCGACTCTGCATTTTTTGTGTACGAATTGATTTCGTGAAAAACAAAAAACCAGATTTTCTTGTATGTGTCAGGACTTTTTTGATTCACAAAAGTGATCGAAAACTGGTCGTGCTCAGCAATGTTAGAGATTCATGATCCATGCTATTAGTGCCTGTAGAAATTATCATTAGGAGAATATTGTATATAAGGAATAATTACAGCGTGAGTTTTTCTGCCAGGGGTTTCGAGAGTTGGGTTTAATAGAGGGATTAACTAACAATGGAGAGTCCTGATTTATATGACATTTGAGAGAGGACATTTCGAAGCTATATCAGTGATGAAAAGCTAAGAATTCAAAAAAATTTTGATTTGAAAATTCTGTAAGAGAGCAATCCTCTTTAGTCGGATTACAATATAGGTTCTGTTCAACCAATGACCATTCGAGAATGAGTTCTTTAAATGAGTGATCATTACCGAATTGAGAACAGACCCAGGTGAAAGATCATCGAATGTAACCGAATCGAAAATTGCCTAATCAAATCATTAATTTCAAGAATAAGAAATTTAATTTTGATTTAATATTATTTTAGGAGATATGGCTGAATATGACAAAAAGAATAATACCTTTCGTATACTTGGTCGATCATCTGTTGATATTATTAAATCTGGTGGTTATAAAATATCAGCATTAGACATTGAAACAGTTATTCTTCATCATCCATTTGTCAGTGAATGTGTAGTTATTGGTGTGAAAGATTCAGAATGGGGAGAACGTGTTACAGCTGTTGTTGTACTTCAGTCAGGCAAAAAAGAAAAAGATTTAACACTTGAACAATTACGAGATTATTGTAAAAAGAAATTGCCTGGTTATCAGTGTCCAACACAATTAAAAATTGTTGATAAACTTGAACGAAATGCTGTTGGAAAAGTAAATAAAAAAGAATTAAATGCAAAACTTTTTCCACCATCATCTAACAACAAAAAGTAAATCAATTTATTTACCTATGATGATCTTATAACTTCAATCTTTTGACTTTTGTGAATTAATAAGTTTTAATTTATCATCTTAGTATCAGTTTATTTTGTTTTTCTTTAGAATAAAAAGCTAAACTAAGATTCGTTGTCTGTTTTTTTTATTACATAAATCAATAGTAGATTTACTATTCCTAGTAAAGCAAATCATAAGTTTACATTGATAGACTCTTTTATGAATAAGAATCAGATATTTTTGGATGGACAATATTCTCAATTTACTTGTTAGCCACGTACTAACTTATTTGCGAATAAATACTGCCTTCTTTCTTTCATCTATATTTGTTAATCGCCTTGCTAGCATACGTTAGCAAGATAATTGACAAAGGTAAATGAAAAAAAAGAGACAACCTTTAGCAACAAATAATCTAGTGTATGGCTACGTTTTATATACGTTCATGTCCAACAAGCCAATTAGGAGCATCACTCATTAGGCGAAGAATTATATATATATATATATTTGATTTATTCGAAATACTCTCATAAAATCGTTTTCATTGGACATTCTGTAAAGACTCGACATTTTATAAATATGTTCACCAAAAGTATCATTCAACAACAAAGCTTAAATAAACAATATAGATTTTTACTTTAAAAACGATCGTTTGTTGTTTTTTTACAGATGATTTATTCTCGTTTTGTTCTTCTTTCAATACGTAAATGTATTGTTCATATAAAACCTTCATTTCGTTTATCATCTACATCACGTCCTATTTATTATGACTCGGTTTCTCAATATGCAAATCAAGTAGCATTAATTGATCATTCATCTTCATATACTTATGGTCAACTTTATTCGGTTTCACGTAAACTTTCTCGTCGTCTTATGCCACTTTGTCAACAACAACAGCAACAACAACAACAAAAATCAACTGATGATGAACTTGATAAGCGTAATGTACAATTTGGTATTTTATGTCCAAATGATGCGTCATTTATTATTGCTATGTGGGCTTCATGGATGGTTGGTGCAACTGCAGTTCCTCTATCATTACAACATCCACCATCATCACTTGCTTATTTTCTTAATGATGCACAATGTCGAGGAGTTATTGTTGGTGATGATCGTAGTAATGAATTAATTAAAATAACATTAGAAAATAATTCACAAATTGATATACCTATTATAAATATCAATAAAAAAAATTTATCAACTAAAGTTACATATGATGATATTAATGATGATCTTTTATTATCAACAACAATTGATCGTACGGAACGATCAAATGCTTTAATTGTATATACAAGTGGAACAAGTGGTAAACCAAAAGGATGTGTATTAACATTTGATGCTGTTCAAGCATATATTGATTCAATGATAAAAGCATGGGGATGGACGAAAAATGATGGTAAAACTTATTTTTTAATAAACTTAGTTTATTAGTAAAATTTAGTTATGTTACATGTTTTACCACTTCATCATGTTCATGGTCTTGTAAATGCATTATTAACTCCACTTTTTATCGGTGCTAAAATTATCATGCTTCCACATTTTGATGCATCTAAAGTTATTGAAAAACAAAAATCGATTATTTTTCTATAATTTTTTTTTTCAAAATATTCTTATTTATTTAGACATGGGAATATCTAGTTCAACCTGGTTTTGAACAACATGTAACAGTTTTCACAGCTGTACCAACTATTTATTCAAAACTTATTCATAATTATGATACTAAATTAGCATCACGTCCTCAAACAAGAGATTTTGTTCGCGAACAATGTTCACAAATGATTCGTTTAATGATGTGTGGTTCAGCTGCATTACCTGAAAGTATTCATCGACGATGGTCTGAAATAACTGGTCATAGTCTACTTGAACGTTATGGAATGTCAGAATGTGGAATGGCATTAACAAATCCATTGCATGGAGAAAGAATTCCAGGTTTGATCTATAGTTATAAAGAATAAATAGAGAATAGGATTTACAAGAGAAGTTCTTCAATTGTTCAATCACTTTTTAGTCGAGACCATATGCATTATGTAGATCCAAATGAGCCCGAAGTACTTTGAAAAGAGTTCATGCTCTTAACTTATTGCTGCAGAGATATTGCATTTTACAGTATTTTTTAAATGAAATACTGTAATCCCTCCTCAAGAATATTAGAAAAACTGTCTTTTTTTGACTTTCGACTTGAAACTTTGCATAGAGATAGACCTTAACAAGAGCAGTTTATTATTAAAGTTTCAGCTCTTTTGATTTACTTCTATCTTGAAATAATAACATTAAATATTCCAGATTTTGTATGATCTATGTAAAAGATATGCTATTACCGTAGTTGTATCTTATGAGATAGGAGCATCGGCAAGATCTAAAATATTCACAAAAACTATTCTTGTTAAGGTCTGCCTTTATGCAACGTTTCAGGTCGAAATTCGAAAATCAATTTTTCTGATGTTTCTGAAGAGGACTACGGCATTTATTTAAGCAAATACCATAAAAGTGCAGTATCTCTGCAGCAATAAGTTAAAAATACGAACACTTTTTAGAATATTCATAACTTATTTGGATCTACATAACACGGAGTCTCTAGTATATTATGTAGTAATCATTCCTTTTTGTTTTGTTTTTTGAATTTTGTTCTACATGAATTTTGATTTTTCGTCAAATGTACCGAATTCTTATTTTTTTGATTATAATTAGGCGCTGTTGGTCGACCGATGCCTGATGTTATTATTCGACTTGTACAAGAAAATACAACATCACCAATGGGTTATGAAACATTATTGGAAGCTGATAGTAATAATACAAAAGTAGAAGTAAAAAGTATGTTCGAAATTTTTTTTTTTTTGTATTGAAAAAAAGATTTCATCATTTATCGATGTTTCTTTTTGTTTTTAAGATACAGATGAACCAATTGAAGGTGAACTTTTAATTCAAAGTCCATCTTTATTTAAAGAATATTGGCGAAAACCTAATGAAACTCGCGCTACATTTACAACAGATGGTAGTTTTTTTAAAACCGGTGATATTTGTCGTTATGATCCAGAAAAAAATGTTTTCTCAATTCGTGGTAGACAATCAATGGATATAATTAAACGTGCTGGCTATAAAATATCAGCATTAGATATAGAACGTATTTTATTAGAACATAAAGATATTTCAGAATGTTCAGTTATTGGTATTGATGATTCGACAGTTGGTCAAAAAATAGTTGCTGTTATTGTACCAAAATCATTAAGTAATATAACTGATTTAACAATCGATACAATACGTCAATATTCTAAACAATATTTACCAAATTATTCTTTACCAGATTCTATAACTATTCTTGATCATATACCTCGAAATGCACTGGGTAAAGTTAATAAAAAAGAACTTGCCCGTTTAATTATTTAATATACACATGTAGATTACTGTTTTAAAAAGAAAGAAAGAAAAAAAATACAAAAACAGACTACATTTACGACAAAAAAAAAATAATGATTGCATTAGACTAGAGTTTATGTCGATAAAAAAAAAAACAGTTAATAATTTATAAATTACTTGTCTTTGGAAATATCACTAATTGTCATTTTTTGATGTTGTCGTCGTGCTGTATAATACATAATACGTCGTATATCAAATTGAACACAGGTACGAGCTACAACAGAAAATAATTTATGATGAATTATCATAAATAATGTTTGATGTATATTAGCCCATAAACGATAATATCGACCAATAAATGGATCAAATTGAAATGGACATAGAACACCATTAAGATTTACCCATGTCAACTAAATAAAATAAGAATTAAATTTATAGAATAATTTGAAAAATAAAAAATAACAACAAAATATGCATACTAAAGAAATTGGTTGTAATACAAGATAATGATAGAAACGAAATGTAGCAATAGCTGATATTGTCCAGCGAAAAGATCCAACTGGTTCGAGACTATAACCTCCTGAAATATGAAGAGAAGAAAAACAAAAATAAATTAAAAAAATTTATTTTAGCCATCCAAATATATGAACCATGAGATGAGAGAAGAAAAACTGGTACAACTAAAATAAGAATATGTTGAATATAATAAAGTTCAACTTCAAATGGAAAAAGTCTTGTTGATGTCACTGGAAAATAAATTGCAAGTGTACCACCATTTAACATGCCAACATGTAAACGATAAAGTCCACGTGTATAATAATTTGATGAGAACGTTAGAAGTATAATCTAAATTAATAAAATTAAAAAAAAAAATAAACAAACTATATTTCTTAAGAATTAATTTTTGTTCAATTAAATATTTCTCTTTACAAAATATTCATAGGAAAGTATATAATATACAAAAATCGGATCAGACAAATTTGGATATAGTAATTTAGCATATATTTAAAGAAGTTAGTATCTGTTTATTTTATTTTCATGAATAGGAAAGATGTGAAAACTTCGGAATAAGAAGGGATAATTCGGAATATTGAAGAAAGATGCGATCCAATTCAAAGGATGTTCAGACGCAAAGCTTTTTGTAACATTGAAATCAGTGTCAACATTTGTTGATAGTTTAAAAATCTTGTTGTTTTCAAACATTTGTCATTTGAAAGTTGAACTTCAAGAGTGACACATAAATTCAATCAGAACTTAACCCTTTCTTGCCTTTGATTAAATATGACGCTTTGGAAGGACAATTCGCTCAATAACATCTATCTTATAGCTCCTAATATACACAAGAAAAGTTCGAGCCAAATTCGCTAAGCATCAATATATTGAATACGTAATGTATTCATTATTCTTTTTTTTTATTTAAAAATAGTTTCTGAAACACTCACACCCATATAATGCTTGACTATCCATGTAAATCAACCATACACACATCTCGCAGATAGTCCACAGTAGATATAAAATCTGTTTCTCAATGTCTCACAGTTCAAGACAACCAAATTTTTATAAAAATGGTCTCTATAGGGATCATAGAGCAAGAAAGATCGTTATCGACTCCTAGAAAATTCTACTCTTTCTCAGTCTTTTCTACAATGAACATTGGTTTTTTTATGTTTAATTCAAAAGCTGATTCATATTTTTGACGTCTTCAATAGTAAAATTTTTAAATGCTTATATAAATTTTGATCATTGTAGACAATATTCAATCAAGTCCATTTTTGTGATAATCTTCTTAGTATAATTTTCGAAAAATTCGATTGCCATCGCTGAAGATAATAGAGCTTACGCGATTCAATGACAAAGTTGAATAAATGACTGTAAATTCTATTATTAAAAAAACTCAAAAGGTTTTAGAACACAATTGGTTAACGGCAAAAAATGAATCAAAACTCCCAAGGCATTATTAAATGACTTGGGAAATAATCATCAAATTTCTCGGAAAGGGAAAAAAGCTTTAACGGAAATATCCAAAAGCAAGAGACAGTACTCCTTGTCTCTGTCTTGCTGCTATTGTTTATAGCATAGTAATAAAAAAAAATACGAAGAATTTTTATTTACTTGTATTAATGTGACCATATGACATGGATTAAGTATATAAATAAGTTGACGTGATGCTAATTTAAATCCAATTTCTATGCCCCATAAAAGAGCGTAACATACAAGTACTAAACGTCTTAAAACACTTGGTCGTCCTTGACGTTCTCGTGCATATTCACGAGGAAATGATGTTCCTAATTGATTTTTTGCATGATAGGTCGCATAATAAATTTCCCATGAAGCAATAATTAGTGTAAGGGTTGTTTCAAATAAACGTTGACGTAATGTTGAATGTGCCGCACATTCAATACCTCCATCATCAGCCCATGGTTCGGTAGTTTTAGCCGAAAAATTAATACCTGCATATGCCCACTCAAGCATAACACTATCTAAAAGAAATTGATTTTTAATTTTATAAGAGAAAAATAAGATTGTTTTTTGTTTTTATTTGTCTCATTGTAAATCAATGAGACAAATATATTTATTTGTATTCTAAAAACAAACAAATAACAACATTCTTATCTCCTCTCTCTCTCTCTCTCTCTTTACCAAAATCAAAAAAATTTGTTTTTTTTTTATTTACTAATTACAAATCTTCTAAATGTGTATCTTTATTCTCAGGATTCACTGGTTGTATTAGTTTAACACCAGGTATATCTTGACCAAAAAACCAATTATATTTTGTTGGAAAATATTCTGCATGAAGACGATTTGCAGTTCGATCAGCATGTAAACGAGCAACAATATGATTCATATTTACTGGCCATTTTTCACTATCATCTATTGAAACATTCATTTGTTTTAGATCAAAATGATTTCCTATAGTTAATTGACCATTATGAGGAAATAATTTTGTCGAACCAATATCATCTAAGGATGGTACACCATCAATGAAAATTAATGGTTTTATTTGTACCATATGTTTACATACATATAGATGTTTATTTACTGACGGCACATTTTTAACGATCACTGTTAATATATCCCATTGCTAAGAAAACAAATAAATGTCAAACAGAAAAGTAAATTAATATATATGTACTTTTCGACCATAACTAATGAAGCCGAGTTTTGCAAGTGCTTCTTTAACATAAAATGTTTCACCATAAGTTGGTCGTATTTTCGTAACAACATGAAATTTATGTGGTGGTTTTGTTCGATCAATCATGGGTTCAATTAATGATCGTTGACTACCTTGTTCCATTTTAACTTCTTCTAATGCTGTATAACGAAAATGATCACGAAAATTTGATTGTTTTTGTTGTTTAGGAATATCATAGTTAACATCTTCACGATTATGAAAACCTTTCTTATCAGCTACACGATATGAACGTTTTCGAGCATTATTTATAGCTGATAAAGAAAGGTATCGGATTGATAATACCTATAGACAATAAACAATCATATTCATTAACAAATTGAGAGTAATAGAAACAAAAACAAAAAAAAAGGAATCACATGTCTTCCCTACTTTAAAAGTGCCTCGATAGTCGAGCTTGTCGGGTTGGTCCCGGATTCAGTTGAGTCCGTGTCTGAAAATACTCTGTTAACTAGGTTCGGTTCGATCCGAAAACTTTGTACTTAGCAAGCTCCAGTCGTCTCAAAAATGTATAGAGTGCGCTAGGCGCTGAATACAAAGAACGAGAATAAAAATATTTCGTATCTCCAAGGTGATTATCGAATTCCGATTAGAAAATTTGATTAAGAGTATTAAAGTGCGATTCGACCCGACGAACTCTACTTGAACGTAAACATATACTGAATACGATTGTAAAACTTACATCAGAAGATCTCGTAAGTAAATTGATTATTTTCGAAGTAATCATAATCTAAAGAAGACAATGAATAATGATATGAATCATATATATTTTTTTCTTGCTTGATCATCAAAAATCTGTACACACACAAAGAGAAATGATAAGCAACAAAAAAAAAACCAAAAAAAAAACAAATGTTAATATCTTTTTCGTTTGAAAATATTCGGTGCCCAATCAACAGGATGAGTTTGTTCAGTCTAAAAAAAAACAAAAGCAACATAATAATTAAAATAAAATGAAAACTATTTCAATTATATGTACCGCTGTTTCATCTTCTTTATAGATTTTAATTGTTTTATCAGCTTCACATGTAATTAATCGACTACCACTGTGATCAAATGTCATGGCATAAATACCCATTTCAGGATCGATTGAACCTGGTTGTGGAATGGTTTGAAGACGTTGAAAATTATAACCAGTTTTCCAATCCCAAAAATATAATGAACCATTATCCGCTACAAGAAAAAAGTGACTTAATAGTCAAAAGAAAATAGGAAAAAAAACCTGATGATAAACTTACCACCCGAAACAAGTACATTATCCGCATTAGCAGCCAATGAATTAACAATTGCATTATGACCACTTAAATTTTGAATAAATTCACCTTTCGGAAATTTCCATTCTTTGATATTATCTGGTGAAGCTGATGCCATTGTATACCTGAATTTTTAAAAAGATAAACAATAAATTTTTGTTATTTTTTTTTTTTTTTTATTGATTTTACCATTTTGGATGAACAGCAAGAGAACGAACACTTTTCTTATGATGTGTTAATGTACAATAAGTTCGTCCAGCAGCAAGATCCCAAAAACGTATTGTACTATCATGACTACCAGTAACAACCTAAAACAAGAATAAAATCAATATAATGAATGGCTCTTAAAGAATTATAATGTTAAAATATTGAAATTTTCTCCTCTATTATTCTCTTGATTGAAACACTTTTTTCTTATCAAAAGATAGCACTTGAAATTCTGCACAAAATAATATAATTTATTTTGATGAATATAGTTTCCTTCATTTTTTTAAAGACTAAACGTAATCGTACAGAATATTAATTTTCTTTCTGTTTCAAGTTTTTTGACAGAGAATTTTATTTCGTCTATCAATGTTGCCTTTGTTGTTATGTGTAGTCCTAATTCATTCCATAAACTAATTATAATACTTAGAACGATGAAGTTTGAGCTGTAAACACTGAAGAGACTGACAAGAAAGGTACTGTTCATGTAAAAAATATAATTCCCAATAAAAATGATGGTATAGCTAGGTGTATGTGGACAAAGACTGATAATATCGGTGATTTTGAAAGATGAAACAACGGATGCAGAAAGATACATTAGTGACGTTCTTCCAGTAGCTCTAAAATCTAGCAAGAAAATGTTGAGAAACAACTGGATATATCATCTGATCCAAAAATGTTATGGTGATCATTTTCCTGGATTCATTTCGAAGAACCGTTGCTCATTAAATTCTCCTGATTTATATCAATTAGATCACAGTTTATGGAATGAACTAGTTGGATCTATGAAATGAAATCACATAGCAACAAAGGCAACATTGCTACACACAAAAAAAAAGAAATTCTATGTCAAAAAATTAAAAAGGAAAAAATTTCATATTTAGTATAATTACGTGTAATTCAAAAAAAAGTGAAGGAAACTATATTCATTATATAAATTATATTATTTTGTGCAGAACCAACGGGATGATAGAGGAAAAAATTTTCAAAAAGATAAAATGAAATATTACTTCTGGATCTGCTGCTTGTGTTTTAACATCAGCTACCGTATTTGTATGTCCTGTTAGACAATGTATTTGAGCTTTTGTACGCATATCCCATACCTATATGATTGAATTCATTATTGAATTTAAATTAAAAAAAACCATACAAAAAAACATACTCGGGCTACAGAATCTCGACCACAACTAACAAGAATATCAAGTGTTGGATGAAGTGAAAGTGCATAAATAGCACTTAAATGTCCATGATAATGACGAATAACCTAAAAATAAACATAATTATGAAATTAATCTGTTTCTGTTTGATTTGGAACATTTTTAAAATTACTTTATTGCATTCAAGATCCCAACATTTAACTTGTTTATCTTCACCACAGGAAAATAAATAAGGTTGTCGAGTACTAACAGCAACACCACGTACCGTAGATACATGACCAGTAAGTGATAATTTAAGTGTACCACTAGCTAAATCCCAAATCTAAATTAAAAAAAAAGAAAAATTTTTTTTCTTGATTAGTTTTCAAGAAAAAAAAATTTGTTTATTAAATACTTTAATCACACGATCAGCTGCACCGGTAACAAACCATTCATTTGCAGGTTCAACATCAACACAACGTACCCAACCTAAATGTCCACTAATAACCTAAGAACAAGCATCATTATAATGCAAGATGATTTGTATTTTTCTTTTAACTTACTCGCATTAATTTCCATGGAGCATGCCATTGTGGTTTAGGCATAACTGATGCTGGTTTTTTCGATACAAGTGCTTGTAATTGATTCGATGGTTGTTGTGGTTTATTTGCCAAAACAAGTGCCTATAGAAAACAAAACAAACCAACCGAAATTTGATTATTATCTTAATCAAATTAAATCATACAGTGCTCATTGGTGTTGTTGATGATACATCAGTATTTGTCATTGTACTAAAAAACATAAATAGAATTAATATGAAATTAAAAACAAATTTCTAATTTACGTTGTAAGAGGTTCATTTACTGGTTCATCTGTAGTATGAGATGTATCTAGAAATTAATAATTATGATAATGTTCACAAAAACAAAATATAAATTATTTATTCTTACCATCATCTAAATATGAAAAAAATAAAATAGTTAGAAGAATTTAGTAGATAAAATGAAACATACTGTTGTTTTCAGTTGTTATTTCATTTGTTCCTACGACACTTTTAACATGTGGTTTCATACCTTTTGGTAATGTAAGTACAGTACCATATTGATCTTTAGCTTTAAGCTTCCTTGATATACTATCTCTATTATTAAAATCGAAATGATTATTAAAAAAACAAAGAAAGTAAATATTTAATAAGCACATACGCCGCTTCATCAGGTAAAATGGGTGTATTTTGATTAGCAAGAAATAAATCATGTGTTCGTTTAAGTGAACGAAACACAAGTGAATGAACTGATATTGGCTTTTCTGCAGTAGTCTACAAAACAAAAAATCGAACGATTATAATGAAAGTTAGAAGAGAACTTTTATATTATTACAGTGTCAGCCATTTGTGATGAAGATAGTATTGGTAATCTAAAGAATCAAAAGATTTATAATTTCAGAGAAGATTAAGAATAAATGAAAATTGCGAAAGTTTTAGTTTTACAATAGTTAATAAAATTACATTACATTCTTTGTTTTGATGCCAAGATTTCTTAACGATTGGTTCGATATTTAACTAGTAGGAAACTGTCATTTGCCTTTTTGAATAGGATTTCCACTATTCTTTTCATTTTCTGCACTGATGAATAGCGACATCTGATTTGTCGATTACATATCTAACATCAAAGTAATATAGGCAGCGGAACCATGATACTTGAGTAGACTAAAGCTTACCCTATTCAGAGACTTAAAAAATCCAAAAATATTGCATTAAAGTGATGAAGTGGGCATAAAAATTGATGTGTTCCAAATTCATTGATCAAGAAGGATATTTTCATCAATTTAATTCCATGGATAGATTCACATATTGTAGGCTAGGATAGGCTCAACATTTGTTTCTCGTCTCATTAAATTGATAAATTTATATAGGGCGTCGAAATTCTTATATAAACATCAACATTTTTCATCGCCTTCAGCCGCAAATAGTAATATTTTCGAAGTGAAGCAGACATAGAAAACATGCTTGAGAAAACGTTGAATTTTATATGACCGAATGTTGGATCCTTCATTGCCAATGGCTTGAGAGAATGTTCCTTTTTTACAAATGAAGAAGAATTGTACAGGCAACTCGAGTTAAATAAACTAGTAGCTGCCAAAAGTTGTCTTCATCTTTAGTGACTAAGCATAGATGTCTGAGAAACATTTTCAACAAAGTGATCAAACTTACAATGAAATTTCTTGTTTCTGTAAACATTACTGTTTCATCATTTTTCTGTTTTTTCAGTAAAATAGATCGAAAACTCTTCTTTTGAGAGTCAAAATTAAACTAGAAACAAATATTGACGTGTTTCTTTAAATGTATGTTTTTTGATAGAAGTTGTGAAGTTTTTCTGAATGGTACTAACTATATACAATCCAAAAAGTGAGTTAGAAATAAGAAGCATTAATTCTATTTCATCTAAATGGCATAAAAAAAGTTGCTCTCCTTCTTCATATTCTTAACTTTCTGGTGAAGATCTTATAAAAATTGTTTAGCCTATCCAAGATTCAAAACGTTCCGCCATTAATGCAAAGTAACCAGCATAATAATTGAGAAACATTAGAAATGAAATGTTTTCTGAAATTTATTTAAATCATCTAAAATATCTCTGTTGTATTTTTATTATTGAAAAATTAGCACTTCTATAAATGTTTTTGATAGAGGGTCTTTTATTAGATAATATTCAATGAAATTCTTCTTCCTTGATCTTAATGTTTGTCCGCTTGAATGGATGAGGAAGTCAGGAGTATCATGACCTTCTCCACACATTCCGTAAATTGGAGTTTACTAGCTCTTCTTGCGACAACATAACTAACTAATATTTTTCTCGAGTACGCTATAAAATAACATAAAAAACTTGTCGCTTCTGGTACCTCAAAACAACTTCGTTATTAAACAGTCATTACGAGTGTAGTCACCTGAGGCAGCATAATTCTTAAGAAATATCATAACTTATTTCGACGATGCTTTAGGTTTTTTTTTGGAAAAAAAGAACACAAGATAAGACAATTTTCAATTGGCTAGTCGAAAATTCCTGTTTATGAAATAATGTCAGCTTCAATAGGTTTAAAACTTAATTCCGAGAAATTTCAATTCATTGTGCTTTCTAAAAAAAAACATGTCTTTGAGTAATAGTCGTTGTTGTGAATGTCGTCGCTGTTTGAAGTATCGAGAAAATGTTGTTGAATTTGATATGAAACAAATTTTCTTTTTGTAAAATACTGAAGGACGCAATCAAGTTCTTTTCATTCGGCAAAATGTTTTCGGAAGTTTCTTGAAGCATAAAAGTGGAACACAATGATATTAACTCTGTTGGAAAAAAATGTGGTTCTGTCTCGTAGTCCTGATTAGTTTGGAACAGTTCTATGCATCTGTCTTCTGCTTGTCTGTTATTGTTCATTGCTGCAATTCTAGGGTATAGTTCTCTTCTTTTTTTAACATATTTTCCTTATTTCATACAAACATGTTGTCGAGGTAGACAAATACACCGAACAAATAACTAGAAACGTGTTGTTATTTTAAGTACGCATCACCTCGGGTGATTTTTTTTAAACACTTTCCGCTCCCTAAATTTGAAAACTTAAGTCAGCACTGCTTCGTTTACAAAAAAAAATAATTTTAGTTCTAAAAATAACATTAGATTAGTGAGAAGAAGAAAAAAGTAAATCTCGCCTGTAAACAGTTTTTGTTCGTATCGTAAGCGTCCAATTAGTATTGTCACATTCATATTTCATTTTATTGTAATGTTAACCATTAATGATCTAAATAGTATTTATCCTCGTTTAAAATAAATTTGTCATTGCAATTAAATAGGATTATGATGTTAATGCTCGAATTTTTTTTTAATCTAGATGCTATTCGTGCAAAATATTATTAAAAATAATTTTGATAGTATTACAATGTCTTTCTTTACCTTACTGAATATTTATTTAAACTCTATCACTAAAATATAATTACTTCAATTAATATCAAGGACAAGGAATTAGTCACTGTTTTCCTGAACGTTTTTCATATTATTCAACAATATACTTTATTGAGTTCTAGTCACGAATAGGTCTTAATGATCAATTTATTGCTTTCTATTTTAAGTTTACGTAATCATTCAAAAATAACAATGTTTAGGATCAAATAACTACTGGCAAACTTTTTCAAAAAAGTATTTATGGTTTATTGAAATGTCGTCCACAATTTATAAAGAACACTTGACCTTGTTAAGCACACTTTCGAGAGCAAAATTGAGTCTTTTTGCTTAGTTCATCAATAGATTTTTTAATAGTACTAATCAATTACGTATGTTTCGATAATGTAGATATAGACAAACATGCAAAAAATTAACTTTTAATCGATATTTCTTCAGAATCCTAATTCGTTTTTTTTTCTCGATATGAATGTTAAACAAACAAAATATTTAGCAAAACATGAGAAGAAAAAAAGAAAATCAGTAATAAAAAACAAATAAAAAGAGGAACGTGATCCATTGTCTGGTATTTGTCATAATCGAGAATGCCTGGAAATGTTATTGGCAATGCCAATCATATATGGAATATTGCTTTCTAAAAATATTCTATAAAATCTATTAAATACAGGTCATATCAATACATATTCTATCAATTGTCATAAATATATACGTTCTTACATTCCAATTATACTCTATTCTATGCAACGTAAAACTTTCTTCGCATTTTTGTTTCTAGTTTTTGATGGCATTTCCTATTTCAATACCTTTTGTCTACTAAGAAGATTTGTTATTGATTAAGATTTTTTATTGTGTATAGATTAGAATGATATTAACAGAAGATATTTATATTATCCTGACCTTCTTCATCAAAATAGAAGTGAGATCTAGTGAAGATTATACTGAGATAATGTTAATTAAAAAAAAAAAGTACATAAATCTATTGAAGATATTTGAATTGACTGCATTTCTGATTATCTTTATCACTAAAGTAAAGAAAAGGATAGCATCCATTCTTAGATTGTCTTGAAAATATTCCATTTCCTATGTTGATTTTGCCTTTTAGACCAATGTAAATTATATTCAAGTTGTTTTTCACCTTATTCTCTCTCTCGCTTTCTTTTTTTTTATAATTGATTAATTCTTTTTATATCAACAATTCATTAAAAGAAAACTTTTTCCTTTATTCCATTTATATCTAAGAGAAATCTAGCGTCTCTTTTTTTTCTTCTATCGGCAGTCTCTCGATTTCTCTTTCTCACTTAGTGTTATATACTCAAAATATGAGCATCACCTCATTTGACAAGCCTTTATTTTTACAGAGGTCAGATCAATATCAATTGTTGTAATGTTTTGCAATAAGATAAGTATAGAGACAAAAGAAAACGGCGATAGTATGCAACAGATTTTATATTCATTTTATTAAATATAATCAAGATATTATTTAATAAATTTTATTAGAAATTCTTTTTTGCTTTTTTTAGACAACGAAGTATTTGATTTGAGTTATTATAATTGAATTTTTTCAAAAATGTTTAAACATCTCATCGTTTTACTTTCATTTATTCAACTAATGCATTGTTTATCTATTCGAAGCAACAGTAAGTCATCTTGATTCTTATATAAGATAAAAATAAATTTTATCATGACAGATATATAAATATATATAGTTAACCAATTAATTTTATTCACATAATATTAATTTTGATATTGGAAATTCTTCATTTCTTTTTTTCTATCGTTTAATTTTAGTTTGGTGGAGTCGACGTAATGAAAACTCTCAACCAGATTGTAAGATTGAATTTGAAAATGAAAATCCTTCACTTGAAGAAAAAGTTTGTGGTAAGTTATTTTTCTTCAATATAAATTATTTGTATTGATTGAATATAAATTGTTTTTCTTTTTTCTTTTTTTTAAAACTTGTTTAGGTTATTGTTATGCTAAATGTCAACAACAATTTGCTGCTTGTCTTCTAGCACAAATGAATCAAGTAATAACTGGTCCAATTGACCATTGTCAAAATCTATCAAAAAAATGTGAAACAACATGTTCAAATGACAAACGAACAAGTCGAATTGCTGAAGAAAATTGGCCAAAAGTCGTTGAAATCCTACGACAATTCTATTCCTATTCACCAACAGATAATGAAGAAAAACATTAACAAAACGAGCATGTTTGAGAATGTTTTATTTCGGTAATTTCTTTTTTCTTGTTCCATCTATAATTTTTCTTTGTCCCATACATAAACATGGATATAAACAAACAATAAGACTCATTTATTATTTTATTGAATAAATATTACCTCACGAAAATACAATAACAGAAAAAAACAAAATTAAAATAACAATTAAGATAAATTATTTTAATATTAAAGATCTAATAATTAAAAATAGATCTTTTTAATGAGAATAAAAAAAAAGAAATGAACGCAGATTTTTTTGTTTTTCACTCTTTTAAATGATTAATTATACTTTGTGATTATGATGTTAGCACATTTGGCTTAACTAAAACTCGACCATAACGTTTTTCAATAGAAATTTGCATAGCTTGTGATAAATCAGATAAATCATAAGTTGGTCCGATTAATTCTTCATAAGGATATTTTTTAAATGTTTTCTCTAGAAATTGAACAGCTTGATCAAGATGACGTGGAGCATAATTATGAATACCTAATGAGAAAAAAAAGAATAAATTATTTTTTATTATGATTTAAATTATTTAATTTTATACCTTTGATAGTTAAACATTTACGAATAATTTGTTCTCCGGTTATATTCAATTGTGAATGAGGATGAACCATACCAACAAAAAGATATACTCCACCAGGTTTCAATAATCGTAAACCATCATTGACAACATTTGATACTCCACATACCTACAAAATATCATCAAGAGTAAAATTTATTTCAAAATAAAAACTAATCGTAATATTTCAAAAAGTATATACTTAAAGATATATATATACGTACAAAAACAGAGAGAGAGAAATAAAAACCTACTTCAACAACAACATCAATCTTGTTTGTTTCTTCTTCAAGTATTTCGTCTAGAAAATACATGAATGAAATGACTTTTTTTCTTTATTTGTTATAAGGTGTGAACGATTAAAAAATATAAACGTGCACAGGACTTTGACTAAACATGCCGAAACAAGGTTTACTCTCTGTTTAAATAGAATGAATAATGGCAAGCCTTTATTTTCTATGCACTAGGAAGTAAAATATGTGCAAAGACAAAGAAACTCCAAGCAATTATCTTATAGCAAATCGTCTTCGGGAAATATTTGTATCGTACTTCGCCTAGCTAAATAAAAAAATACAAAAAAAAATGGAAGCAAAAGTGATTAATATAAAGAACGCATGCATTTAATTTTTCGTTTGAATTATATAACAATCATATGAATGTATGAAAAATTTAAAAAAAAAAAGAATACAAATATTTACCATTATAGAGTGGAATACCACCGAAATGTTCTATGAATTTTGAACGTTGTAAACGAGTTCCAGAACAATAAACTCTTTCAAAACCATGTTCACGAAGTGCTGCACATGTATACAAACCAAGCATTCCATCACCCTTTAAAAAAAAATATAATTTTTAATATTTAAAAATTGTTTTCTGTTTTCAATTACATATTATTGAAGTGAAAAAGATTTTTTTTTGAATATTGTTTTTTAAATAAACTTTAGACCTATGAAATTAAATATTGAAGTATCTATACATTTCGATAGATTAGATATGGATAAAGTAATATTTACAAGGGAACTATGTAAATTGATACTCGCTATTTGAGCTCATATTAAGTCAACAAGAAGATCTTAGTAAGATAAGAAAGGTTTGTCCTCACATAAACCTTCGAAGACGATTGAAAATCGTTTTATTGAATTTTCAACCCAGTTGTAGAAACATACCGAAGAATCAAAAAAACCAGCATTTTGACGTGAAACTTTGCTCATAGATAGGTTGAATGACGTGTAGCATATTCAAAAAGTTTCAATCGAAGAGAATGTTTGTCTTTCGTCGAAATATCAAATTTCGAAAAAAATCATTGTTTGCCACAGACACGATATAAAAATCAAGTTTACTTGAATATTAAATATCTTGACAAAAAAAAATCATTCCTCGTATGTATCTAAAGTTAAGTCAAAAATTCAGTGAAACGATTATAACTCGGCTTCAAAGGCTCATATTGAGACGAATTCTTTTAGGTTTTTTCTATTCTTATCGAGACCCCCTTGTGAGCTCAATATGAGCTCAAATGGCGAGTATCAGTTCGAGTAGTTCCTTCCGTTAGTTGATAGAAATATAGAATGATATACATTTGATCTCTGATCTATTAAGTATTGATTCTAAGTATCTGAATATCTAAATAACGAATTAGTAGAATTCTTAGATCAAATGTCAGATTGATACTTCTCATTTAGTATTATTTAATAGACGTATATCGAAGGATTTCGATCGAAGAAGATATCAACTTTTTCATTTAGTAAAATTGAAAGTTCTTTTTTTTGTTGTTTATATAGAATAACTAAATAAAATATTTTAATTAATCATGTATAACTAATATTCGATTATTATTTAGTATAGAAATAGAAAAAAACAGTGTGGTTTTCAAGAAGTTAACAGTCTAGTACTCAGCCGTAAGCACAGTATTCTACGTGTTTTACAAAATTATTAATAATGAATATAGAGATTAAAAATAAACATGAGTTTATATAGTCATCTTATCGAATGAAGAGAAAGATGTTTTTTTTTGTGTAAATAAGTCCACAAAATAAAGGAATATGTGACAAGATAATTGATCATTATGTTAGTATATATTGTGACGTGCTGGAAATAGAATTACGGTGAAGAAGATCTTTGTTTTTTTTTTGATTACCCTACATGTTTTTGCTCTATTTATCACCTATTCTCATTTTTCTTTTGTAAAAATTGCAATAATTTGAAATCTCTCTTGAGAATTTTGAATAAATTTTAATTTCACATAAAACTCGTCGTTGATTGTATTTATAGGAAAGAATTTTATTCTTATGGGAAATCAATTTTGTTTTCATTTTTGCGTTATGTAAAGATATATTTTAATTCTATTTTTTCTTAAAAATTAGATTTTTAATTCTATAAATTTATTACTAATTGCATATGTAATTATCCAGTAGATCATGATTTATAATATACTAAAGTATTATCTAAATTATTTTGTTGATTTGCTCATGTACGAAATTAAAGTCTTTTTATTTTTATCGATTAGCTTCAATGAAATTTTGCAAATACACTTCATACCAATTCTACTACACTAAGGTCAGAAAAAGTACATATGTGTAAACTATATGCCAAAAGAACATGAATTAAATTTTTCATTAACCAAAATTTATAGATGAATGCTCAAGGAAACAAGATTAATTTCCTTCTGAGTACATTTCTATTTTCGAAAAATATATATATATATATATATATATATATTAAATAAATGAATTTATCAGAATATGAAAAATTTTTCACAATAAGATTATGCATCTGTATGAATTAAAAGTTTTAATTTCAGTAAAAATTAACAAATAGAATTTTTTTTTTGTTTAGAAAATTAAAATAAATTTTACCTGAACAAAAGCACGTCCATTTTTTGCTTTCGGCACATATTCCATAGCACACATTGCCGTTGCTAATGAACAATTAATTGGTGCTGCACATCGATCTGATATAATTTCAGGTATTTTAACAACATGAGTACCACGTCGAAGAATAATATGTGTAGCATAACAGCCATTATATCCAGAACCATCACTTAATTTCGCATGACCATACTATATAAAAATAAAGGTATATTTGTAAAACAAACGTAAATATCGTCTATTTTTTTTTCTCTTGTCATACTTTAAATAATTTAATACATTTTTGATTGAGTCCAGTTAAACAAAATTCACATTGACCACAAGAATCTGCAATTGAAAATGTTAAACGATCCCCTACAGCTAAATCACTTTCAGGTCGACGATGAGTGACAACTTCAACAATAGCTTCATGACCGAGAACACTTGAAATAAAAAAAAAAAAAGGAAATATTAAAATAAAAAAAAAACGATGCTATTGAGAAAAAAAAATTCTTTACCTGGGTGTCGGTTCAATACGTTGACCTCTAATCGTATGTACATCACTCATACAGATTGATGCTAAACGAACCTTTATAACCAATAATAAAAAAACAAAAATACGTTTTTTTTTTATTGAATTACTTTAACAAGAATTTCTCCAGGAGTAAGTTCTGGTATAAGTGCAGTTTGTGGAGCAAACATTGTTTGAGAATTAATACCATTAAATACAGTACGAGTACCTGAGATTGGATATGTTTTTTCTGTATGTGTGGTTGCATTTGATTTTTGAGCTGAACAAAGTGTTCGACAAATCTAAAAAAAGAATTTAGAAGTATCCATTAACTAGATTATTTGTTTAGCAGATGTTCGACAGTGAATATGTAAAAATATTAAAGTTGATATTTCTCACTATCGAAAAGTATTTTATATTCTGATTTTATATCATATTAGAAGGTTGAACACTTTTATGTCACCATATCAAACAATGAAATACCTTCTAAACGAATATCCTCAACTAGTAAACCAAAAAATTATTTAATTATTACTTACATGAGAATATTTTTGTTTGAATGATCTAATAAGAATCCTACTCACAATCATAGTTTTATTAAATTTTAAAAAAAAACAAAAAAACAATCTGAATCAAAATCAATAAATGTCACATAGATAACTACTAAAATACGATTTAGTTATTGTAAACGTATTAAATGATTAATCGATAGAGGTCATAGTATGAACAGTTTTATATTTTAATGGTTTATGTTTAGAACGAATAGAAATCTGAGATACATTGATCCTTCAATCTGTTATCAGCAGTGGTAATGCTGATATAAATATGGATAAGAATACATTTCTGAAAGTTTATTTTCCCAATGGTTCTTTTCATGGTCTTCGTTACACATCATCGACAACTGTTGCTGTATGAATAGATAACAAAGAATAATGATTATTTTCATTTAATTACTTCTTTTGTCTTGTTAGGAACTTATTCGAATAGTATTAAAGGGTCGTCTTTCATCATGTGAATTGTATTATCGTTTATCATTTGCACTTCGTGTAACATATATTGGTAAAGAACAAGAAATAGCAAATCTACGGATAACATCTTCATCAGATAAAACAAATGTCACGGATAAATGGCTTCATCCAAATATGACCATGGTTAAAGTACAACGAATTTATGGACTTATTGAAGAATTAAAGTAGAAAATGAATTTAATTTTTTTTTGTTGAATTTTTATTAAATCAATATTTAGATTTGAACTTCGTCTAAGATATTTTCCAGAATCAATTGATGCTCTATCGCATGACAAACCAACATTTGGATATTTTTATGAACAAGTATATCTTTCACCATGTTTAAATATATAATTTTAATATGATTTCATATAGCTTCGTATTGATTATATGCGATTAAAATCTGAACATGTATCTGTGAATGATGCTATTGAATTGGGTTCACTTGAAATTCGTAAACTTTTTAAAGATCTTAATCCAACAGCATTAGATAAAAAAGTAAATGTTGATTATTTGGAAAAAGAACTTGGTTTAAAAAGATTTTTTCCACAATCTGTTATTGATTCTCATAAAGTTTGTTATAAAAAAATTCTTTTTTTCAAGAAATTATTTTTAAATTAATTTTATTTTTAAGCCAAAAGTTCTTCGAAAAGCAATTAAAGCATGTTTAAAAAAATATGAAGGTTTAGCAGAAGAAGAATGTGTTAAACGTTTTTGTTCTTTACTCAAAGATGCTTGGAATTGGGAACAAGAAATATTTACATGTAATCTTGGTGTAAGTAGATATTTTAAATTAATTTAATTTTTGATCAACGTGTAACAAAGATATTTTACAACTCACAAAGGAATCTTACCAGTTGTTAAATCGTTTTTCGACTGAGACGATGTTTATTTGATAAATGCTAGAGAATAATAGAAAAATCTAGAATGGTTTGGTTTTTTCAGCCTTCGTTCTTGAGATACTAGGTTTTTCACTAAGAAGTTGTGGTCACATGAAAAACCGACTTTCGATTTCAAACTCTGCATGCACAAAGTTCTTAATAAGAGGGTTTAACTTTTCAAGTATTTTATTTCTGGTGATATCAGTATATGAACAAAATTTGCTTTTACGCATGAGAGAATTTTAAATATCTGAGAGGATAGGAGATACTAGAAAAGTTACAACTTGCTCAATGAATGAACTAATCTCGTTAAGAACTTTGTTCGTGCAAAGTTTGAAGTCGAAAGTCGGTTTTCCACGTGATCATAACTTCTTAGTAAAAAACCTAGTATCTCAAGAACGAAGGCTCAAAAACCAAACCATTCTAGACTTTTCTATTCGAGAAGTTCTCTTGTTAGATATTCCAAGCGGATAACCTCCGTCAATCCTGACGACTTCGAGATGCTCCTGCAGAAGTTTTCATTTGCTTTTTCTACATTGAATCATTGATTTTGAGCTTGAATAATATCATTAATTCGATTTTAAAGTAAATTACTTAAATAAGTTATATTAATATTTCTCTTTAGGCTGAATGGGCAGTTCCAATCAGTCTTGTTCTTGGTCCGTCCGATGGTATCAGTTATCGAACTCAAAACTCCACTAACGTAAAATTCGATATCAATTTTCTTGATATTTTGTATTAGTTTAATTATACGTATATATAGTTAACTAAAATGGCTTCTTTTAAAAATGTTCTTTCAATAGCAACGACAAAAACAAATTCAGATGAACGTGGTTTACTTAAATTAACTATTGCTGGATCATCAGAGGTTTCAATATATTTATTTTAAATCTAACTAGAAATTATTTTAAAAAAAATTTTATTTAGACTTTAACACTTAGTTTTTCATCTGTTTCTGATGCTAATGAAGTAGCTATTCTTATTGATGGTTATTCTATGCTTGTTAATAGAAGTACACATTCACTTTGGAGATCAATGATTGATGATCAATATTTATCAGCATCATCACCACCTGCTTTTCTTGCTCCTCATCCATCAGATACGACATTATCACAAGGTAATATTTTTATTATAAATTATTTAATAATAATTTTTATTGATTTTTCAGTTGATGATGATGACGATGACGATTCAAATGGAGATTATGCAGATGTATTATCATCAGATTATCAAATTGATCGTAAACAAATACATATGATTGAATCACTTGGTAATGGTCAATTCGGTGAAGTTTATCGTGGAATACTTAAAGTAAAATAAAATAAATTTATTTTAATTAATATTTTATATTCTTATATTGATTTTAGACTGATCAACAATTAGAAATTAATATTGCAATAAAAACATGTAAAACGCAAGATGCAGCAACAACAGAAGCATTTTTAGAAGAAGCATGTAAGACATTCTTTTCATTTAAACTAATTTAATATTTGTTTTTGTTTTTGTGAAACATAATCTAAAAGAAGTGTTGAAGCATATAGAGTAGAAATTTATATCTTCCACAGATGAGATTGACAGATCATAATAAACACGTCAAAAAAGACATATCAATGACATAATAGACATTTCTAACGTCATAGATGATAACAGGCGTTATTGATATACGATGACAGACCATGCCAAATGTTTTAGCATCACTCTCCTAACGTTACAGACTGTAAACAGCCGTGATTGATATGCAATCAAAGACTGTATATCAAATAACACCTCGTTAACTACTCATTGCATTTGTGAAAGATTACGTAAAATGATGATGAAGAAATATGTCTCAAAAAATAAGAAATAAAACAATATTTCTCGGACTGGTAACAGCAACTACATTGTGTTTCATATTTTTATGCCTGCAGAGATTGTGCTAATAGTTTTTATTTTTAAGATGTAATGCAAAAATTTGATCATCCACATATTATAAAACTTATTGGTGTTTGTACTGAACAACCTGTTTTACTTATTATGGAATTAGCAAGATTAGGCGAAGTTCGAATGATTTTATTTATTTTTTGAAAATTTAATTTAAGTATTTTTTTTTTTTATTGTTTAGCTTCGATCTTATTTAGTTGCAAATCGTTCTGATTTTGATGTGATAACATTAGTACTCTATTGTGAACAATTAGCGTCCGCACTTGCATATCTTGAATCAAAAAAATTTGTTCATCGGTAAGAAAAATTTAAATAAAACATAAAAATAATAAATCTGTTGGTTATTTTTTTGTTTTCGTTTCAAAAGTGATATTGCTGCAAGAAATGTTCTTGTATCAAATCATGAATCAGTTAAATTAGCTGATTTTGGCCTTTCAAGACAATTAAAAGTTGATAATTCATATTATAAAGGTAATAAAATCAAATGAAAAAAGAAACAAAGAAAGTCTTTTTACATGAAGATCTATTTTCTTTTAGCATCCAAAGGTAAATTACCAATAAAATGGATGGCACCTGAATCAATAAATTTTCGTCGTTTTACTCATTTATCTGATGTTTGGATGTTTGCTGTTTGTATGTGGGAAATTTTAACAATGGGTAGAAAACCATTTCAAGGTGTTGCTAATACAGATGTTATTGATCAAATTGAAAATGGTATTCGATTACCATTACCCGGTGTTTATTGTCCAAAACGTTTATTTGATTTATTACAAGAATGTTGGTCATATGAACCAACAAATCGATCATCATTTCTTCAAATTGAATCATGTTTAAAGTAAAAATTATAATTTAAAATTAATTATTAAGAAATAATATTAAAAATTTAGATCTATATTAAATGAAGAACGATTAAATAGTAATTCACATATTCATTTTAAAGATCGAATGTATTCCAATGAACAAATGGCATTAAAATCTAAATCTAATACATCATTAACAGTTTCTTCGTCAATCTTATTATCATTAACAGATGATAATGTACCACCTAAACCAACTTTGCCCAATAAAAATGAATATACAGGCAGCCGATTACCAAGTTAGTTTAAATGTCGAAATAATTATAAAAAAGATATGACACATGTCTAACTAACGAAGGAAGTTCTCCAATTGATAAATCACTATCGAATCGAGACTATATGCATTATGTAGATCTAAATGATCTGTGAATATTCTTACTGTATTTTTACGGTACTTTGTAAATGAGATATCGTGATTCCTGTCAGAAACATCAGAAAAAAACTGATTTTCGATTTGAAACTTTGTATAGAGACTGACTTTAACTAGAGTAGTTTATTGTGAAAGTTTCAGATCTTTTGATTTGCTTCCATCCTGAACTAAGAACATTAAATCTGTTGGTTTACATGAGTAAATACTCTCGTTAAGGTCTGTCTCTATGCGAAGTTTCAAATCGAAAATCAGTTTTCCTTGTGTTCCTGAGGGCATCACAGCATTCATTTAAAAAATACTGTAAAAGTACGGTAAGAATATTCATAGCTCATTTGAATCTACATAATACGCATAGTCTTGGCTAGAGCCCATCGAGTCAAAAATTTTCGGACCCCGGCCTGATTAGGTTCGAATCTGGAACCCACCTGATGGGTTCTAGTCGCGACTCAATAGCGACTTATCCATTGGAGAAATTCGCTCATAAGAGATTTCATTTAATCTCGGGTCTTCCATTCTACCTGCTAATACTAATATCGAATAGCTTAGATCGAAAACTTCAAAATTGTTATCTACACGCTACTTTCTCTATTTATCCACCAGTTGTGTAAATCTTCTTGTCTGACAATAAAGTAACTTTATTGTTTTTTTACATCATAATGTCACACAGATTGCGTTGAAAAAATTTCTCGAATTTAATATCTTTTAGAAGTAGATATGAGTTTTGATTGGAATGCTTTGCTTAGTCCCTATTTGGAAATAGTCTCATATTGAACATTAATATATACATATGTTTATTTTTCTTAATTTAGTCAGTAATAACAAAATTACTACAGGACGAAGTGAATCTAGTCACAGTCTTCAATATCGCAGTTCGACTGGAAATACAGTAATTTTTCTTAATAATTCAAGTATATTTTAAAATTTTGTTATTTTCTTTATAGCTGTCACTATATGATAATAAAGACTTTCAAGATTTTAAACCAACGAAATCTAAAGAACAATGTCCAATATTATCATCAGGATTAATTGATTTATTTCATTCACAAACGAAACAAATTGTTAGTGCTGTATTGGCACTAACACGTCAAAATGAAGTTGATATCAATAATGGTACATCATCAAAATATAATCGTCCATTATCACCAATAAATGATAAAGAACAAATACAATTAGTTAAAAATATTGCTATTGCTGTTCGTGATCTTTTACAAACACTTGATTATGCACCAACATCAATTAAAGAAATGGTTAATATTGTTGGTTTTTTTTTCTAATATATTATTCAATTAAAATATTTACAATTTTAATTTTTTAGTCCGAACAACGTTATAATCATTTTTCAAGTTTAGTTGTTTCATTAATTGAAACTGCTCGACAACGAAATTATAATAAAATGAATGAACATGCTGTTAATATTGCTCGTACAGCAAAAGCATTATTTGATGATATTCTTAAATTGAGTTGAACAAATCAAAAGAAAATAACAACAACAACCGAAACGAAATTTTCTACATTCCTATTTTTTACGTGTGCTTTATGTACATTATTTATTTGCTAATTGCTTTCGTACGACTGATAATGTCTTTCAATATGAATCGTCCTAGACAGTGATAATCGAGCAAAACTCAAAGAATATTAACATATATGTACATCTCAAACAAACAAAAAAAGTTGTTTTTTCTTTTTTTCTGTACACTTGTTAGTTTTGTTTTTGTTACAATTGCAATACCTAATTTGTTTGTTTAAAAATGATAGCCGAAAAATTTTTCAATTTATGTTACACTCTTTTTTTTTTCTACTTATCTCATTATTCATGTAGATAGATCTTATTATTATTTTTTTTGTTTTGATAAATACTTGCTTTACTATAGAATAAAGTCGTCAATAAGAATAATGAATATTTAAAACAAAAAAAAAACAAAATTTGTTAATTTTTAAATTTGAATCAATGGAAAAAGGAAATGCTTTTGACATTTATTCTTCATGTTATGTAATAATCTTGAATAAGTTATACGAAATAAGACAACTTTACTAAATTAATTTATTAATAACCTTAATTCTTTATCTTCTACAGCAGCTTCAGAAGAGCTACTGATAAAATAAACTTATAAATAGAATATTAGTCACTCTGATATGCTAATGGCGTAGTTAGATTCATTGGGTGTCCTTCTTTTAGTTATTCGAATGATCATGTGGTAGAAAATGGGAATTAAACAATCTGAGGAACCATGATTTTTTTTTCTTTCATGGTAGTATTGAAGGGGTGAAAGCAGTTTATGTCTCATGGTATTAAAGGAACGAGTGAATACATAAGAACTAATTTTGAAACAATATGTGCTTTTGACACGTATTGTTAAATAGTCACTTATTTGTCTTTGAGAAATCATATATTCACTAAAGACATCACACTCATAGTAAATATTATCATGTCAACTTCTCACGTGATGAAATTTACAATGCATATATTAACTCTATTCTTGATTATCTATAATTTGTTAAGCTATCGTGGAATTTTCGAAAATTATATTAATCATATCACACAACAAGTTTCAGAGATCTTCATTTATTGATGATAGAGAATATTTCGTTTAGGAAAATTTCAACTTTTTTCATTTTTTTAAAATTATCGATTTTGTAAGCCCGAAATTTTGAAGATGGAACGATGGAATGAAAAGTTCCGTTTTTTATCAATTGATAGCTCATAAAGTTTATTGCAAAATATGTTTTTTGATGCTTGGAAATTTTATGCATCATTTAGTTTTTTTTTGTAATCGATCTATAAATGTTCACTTCAGGGACCAGTAGAGAGTAAAAGGTTAAACATCGATCGTAGTTTTTACAAATGCATCAAAATAAATAAGGAAACTGAATATTCACAAATTTTGTTTTCTTAGAAGAAAAACGGATGTAGAGCTGGAAATTTTTTTTCCTAGAACAAAATCTTCTTTATATAAAAGATTATTGATATTCAATATGGTATGTACAGATGTCTTTTACAAGAAATGACTACTGCTAAACTACATATTCGTACTCGATGTCAAGCTCATGTACATTTTCATTATTGTATGCATCAAATAAAATCAAAATCAATGCTAATATAAGTCAAATTACAATCATATTATTAAACCCAATGAAAGAATAAATTATCAGTTGTCATGTTGAATATATTTTCGTAAACACAATATTGACAAAATATATCGTTATTACAAAAATTAAACAATACTAATTTCAATGAATTAAAATGATTTGAAAAATTAATTCCATTTGACTAACATTGAGCAACAAAAGCAAAGTGTACCGCTAAGTTACCTGTTGAATATAAGAAAACATAATATACTCTTTTTATTAATGCTTATAAATCAGAGCTCAAAATAGGCTATCGATTTTGCTCGGTTACCTGCTCGAGACAATTACAAGCCTTGATTTTTGAGCATGTCATGGACTAGACCAATCGTCTGTTTGTCATGTTTTTTTAAATTTTGAATAAAACATTTGCGTGTTTTTCTTTTGGTTATCAATTTGACTGGACATAATCATAACTACTTGTAGATTTTGTGACTACATTGTTTATTGTCCGTTTATGTATATAGTTTGTTTATCAGTTTCCTTAAGTAACTGTTCGTACTTTCTTATCAATGATTATTAGTAGCTTCTATGAATCATTGACTAAATCTGATGTTACGTGATTCATACTTATTTTGTTGTAGACTGTTCAGCTTCATAATCTGTCATGAGTAAGTCAAAGGTACAAAAAAGTATGTCTATTTAGACGTCTGATATGACTGATACTTCCTTCTTAAAATTAAAATGATAATGAAAACAATGACATTCATTTATTAACCTAATAGTATTTTTTCTTGTTTGTTTTTATTTATGATAAAATGACTAGTAACATTTAACAGTTACTGTTTGAGATAATCCTTGTTTTACTCGATTTGTTGAGGAACGTAATGAATACGATTTACAATCGTATTTAACAATAACAAAAATATTTGGACCATTTTCAGTTCCATCCGTATATGTCATACATCGATGAAAATGAATAATAAATTTTGTTTGTTGATTTTGACTACCTCGAATAAGAGATGGTATCAAACAATCTTCAAACCATTCTTTATCATCAATTGTTTTAATTGTAATAATAATAAAAAGTCCATGTGAAGAAAGAAAATTTGATACATGTTCATACATAGTTGAAATACTAGATAGATGTTCGTTATTATTAAGTATTCCATCTGTTGTTGCTTTATCAATTATTAAACCAAATGAATTAATTGGTAAATAAGGCTTTTGTTTTTGCATCATATTTAATGTTAAATAATAAAAATTATTATTTTTCTTTATCTTATTACATTGCTTGATAACAATAGAAGAATAATCAATACCAATAAATGGACCA